AAAGAGTCACCTTAAAAAGTGTTGGAAACATCTGTCACCGCCACTGACCGCTGTTGGCCACAACTTTATCACGTGGAACAGGTTTGAACCACAAGGCAGTTGTTTCTAATTTTTGAATTCTAATTATACAAAAATGATGTGCATTGTGTTAGTGGAGGAAAGAAACAGTTATTAGAAAGTATGCTGTTGTTATTAACAAAAATTATTAAAAGATAAAAAAAAAAAAGTTTGCTGCAGGTTGAATGCTTAGTGTGTGTCAGTTGATTTGCATCAATCTTGAGGACATGAAATGAGGTGAACAGGCAGGTGCACAGCCTTCTCTTTACATAATCTCTCTGTGTATGTAAAGGTCAGTGGTTTAATGAGAGGACTGCCGAGGTCAGGGGAGCCAGAGGGCTCCACCTCTCTGACAGGCCACATAACTCCAAACCTGCTGTTAGCATGCTAATCCTTGCACAAGCTCCATGAGCACTGCCTCCTTTGGCTTGGTCAGACCATCTCTCAGTGTGACTAACTGGCTCCCCGCTCGGCCATAAGCCAGCCCCCATCTAACAGTCCCCTCCAATAATAATGGACAACAGAGGCAGCACTGGTTTGACAACGGTCCTCGTGACAAATTAGACTCACTGTACTCCTCATTCTGGCTCCGCCTCTCGATTTCTTCTTGTTGCTTGGCAGTTCTGGGCTCTGCCAGGGCAGTGGGCGCGGTATGGCACCGGTTGTTGAGTTTACTTTGGTATGAAGTGCCTTCCTCTACGACACATGCTGCCTTTCTCCCTGACGAAACACTCGAAATCGATGCGTCTTCATAAATTTGGAGCACAATGTGAGACCTGAGCGTGCATTCTGAACGGCGCTGAGTGGAACACGGGCCAAGGAGACAAGGAGCACATAAACATACACACTCACTCACACAGTCATCCAAAACTGAATGCGAGAGGAGGAGAGGGAAGGATCCCACAGAGAGGATGATGCAACCGGAGTGAAATTTTTCGGCCGGAACGCATGCTGCATTAACGCAGACCTGCAGGACGAAAACACACACCCGTACTTCGTTCTTTTTCTTGTTCAAAGCTAAATTTGGTTTCATTGCCCCATTTTTTAAAAATAAAAATAAAAAAATAATTTTTTTTTGCATCCAACAACCTGTAACATATAATTTCCTGAAAAAAAAAAGATCCTTTCATGTTACTGGCATCATGACTTTCTGGCCTCACTGAGAATGATAAGCCAAATGAGCTGTTCTGTTCTAAATCTGCTTGCCTGACAGATTCAGGTGAAAGAGCTATAATATCTAAAGTGAGGGAATTCGAGAGAACCATAACTCCCTTTATGACCTGCACAGATTATAGTCCCCATCTGCAGCATAAGGCATCTGCAGTATGGGTAAATTTAAACAAGATTACAGTCGGTCATTACACTACATCTCTGCTTATTTGATTTCAATCATATTCCATCGTAAATATTCAAATAAATTTCTGCAGTATTGATGGACTTATAAAATGGTTTAACAGCCAATCCATTTCTTTTCATTGGGTTAGTAGTGTCTTGTGTAAGTTGAGAAAGCCTTATGAAAGGGTGTAGTCTCGGCCAAAGACCTGTGGCGCCTCGCTTACATCACTTCCCAGGTCAAAACGGACAATTTGGCCCAACTCTAAATGAGTTTTCAACACCTGCCTTGACTTTGAGCAACTCTCCAGCTTTGTAACTACTTTAACTGTCGGAGCCTATGGCGAGAGCCGCTGCTAATGTATTTAGTTTGACCAAGGACAAATATATTACTCACATTAAATAAGCACCAAATGAAACAATGGCCCTAAAACAAACTTGGTGACAGTTGTGTTTGCTAAGAGGAAAGAAAGATGCTGACAATAAAGGTTTGCCAAGAAATACAATGCTGCGTGATGATGTGACAACAGTAAACAGTAGATAACACCTTTGGTTATTAAATGTGCTCCCCCGTATCATCACAGCTCAATTGCCCCAGTGATTATTACACGAAATCAGGTTGATGAATAGTGCTAGCAATCACATCTACACCTGCTCTTCTTGAATGGATCTCCACCTCCCATGCAGCATTGCCAGAGAAAAGAGAAAGGGTTGGCTCTTTGTGCTCGCCGTCCCGTTGTGCTTGGTAGCAGCAACAGCAGCAGCAGCAGCAGCAGCCGGTGACCATTATAAATGGCCTCTATTAGCATGGCTGAGTCGCAGAGGGGAGAGAAATAAAATCATTGGGAGAATGTAGGCCTGCACTGGTGTCCCTGCACCCGCTACCAAGCTCTGTCGACCTCCGTCCCAAGCTTCCCTCCTCCCCTCCATTCCAAGGGGACACAATCCTAAAGACTAGATTACTAATGATACATGGGGTCATTATGGGGAGGGTTATGGCAATAGTATCACAGGCACAGCTGACAATAGCAATAAGAGGGGTAGCTTTCTTCAGCGGTAGCATTACCATAGCAAAGGCTGTTCTTTATGCCTGTTGATGTATAGCAGAAAAGGATGAGGGTCTTTTATTTCCTGCCATAGCAGAAAAAGCTGTGTATTATCTCCCTGAAAACCATGCTTATGTCTTTGTTAAAATGCCATGTCTCTGTGAGTAACGTTAAATGAACACAAAAGTATCCCCAGACAAGGCATTACCATGTTAACAATAACAGTTACCAGCTACGTGCTACATGGAAAAGCAGAGGTAGAACAAAATTGTAAAGTAAATGGCAGTCGATCATCTACAATCTGTGGTTCAAGCTGGGGCTTTGTACTACCACAACCATTACAGAACAAGATGCACTGTCACCGAACACACAAGGTGTCAGTGCATAAAGTGAAGAGAAAAGAAGAGCGAAGGAAGGGAAGGAATGAATGGAATCAAGCAGAGTTAATGAAAAGGAGAAAAGATGGAAGAGGACTTTTCTGCCGGACAGTTCTATAGACTTCACTCCACTGGAGCATTTCACACCTTAAAGGGTCATCATGCCCTCAGCTTGATGCTCTCTATTCTGTAAGAGGACAAATGCAAACAGTCTGAAGAAACTGAAAGGAAAGGGGAGAGCCACACATATGCGGAAAAGCTGACGGGGAAGCGTAGCAGCTTGAAAGCCAGTTCAAATGTGTTCATACATAAAACTGCTATCAAATTCGTTCACATGGATTAATTTCACTTTCATTTCTGCAGATCAGTAATGGTGATCTCTTTAGAAAACAGGTTCTTCGTATATATATTTTAATATTTGCGAACTGCATTTATCTTCCTGTGATGGCTTACTGTACCTAGTTCATGCGATATTGTGCAGTGTTCAATAAGCCCAGTGTGACGACAGTCGGTCACTTTGCCCGTTATCCGTGGGATGTACTGTCTTTTACTGCTAATTTGGGCATCTTCTACGGAAACCTCAGGGTGCGGGGCAAACGCGGCCTTCAAACAGCTCGCAGTGAGCCAGTGAGCTGGTAAGCCAAGGAGTAGCTGGTGCCTCGAGCTAGTTAAAATATGAGCACAGCGGGGGCTCGCTAATGAAAGCGGGGGCTCAGCCTGGGAAGCAGGACCGTATATCGCAGTTAGGAGACAGTTCTTAGAATCAGCTGGCGAGCCATGCCTATAGTTCTGGGGCCACTAGTGATTAACCGTCCAACAGGGAGTCTCTACTACAGCTGGGCTATTAATAAAAGATACACCCCCCTCCTCCTCCTCCTCTTCTCCTGCCTCTTTGGTTCCCTCAATGTCTGCACACACTCTCTGTCCTCTGGAATTTATTTGTATATCATAATCATTTCCTGACACATGGTGGATGTCACACATTGTTTGCACGAGGCAAAGGTTCAGGGTGTGGGGTGATGGCTTAAAAGGCAAAGGAGAGGGGTCCTGAAAAGTGGCAGCTTACTTTTCACCCTGCGATGTGTCCTGCCGGTATAGCAGATCAATTTGTGACCTCTCACTAGATGGTGATTTCCACAGAATGACTATTCCCGTGAGAGTAGAAAATAAAATGCAAGGGTAAGGCACCATCATTCATGCTGGAGCACTTCAATTCTTTATATTACACCAGAAGGGCATATAACACTGTTGCATCAAAAGTTTATGATGATTCACTGTCGTCAATTCTATAACAAAGGCAACCCTGACAGGGTCAGTCATTGTTGGTACAGAAAAAGCTATTAAGGCAGTATTTGATTAGAATATTTCAAAACTGGTTAAAATAATACCTCTATATGCAATCACCACTTTAGTGCGATTTCTTCATTTTATTTTTATTTTTAAGAGGGAATCACTTCGATCACCCAAACCTGAAACACTGACAAAGGCTTAAATGCTGCACAAAATTACAACATGCTCATAGTCCTTCCACTGTTGCACACGTTCGTGTACATGTGCACGCGCACACCCTCCCTCACTCACTCCCTTCCTCCCCCGCCAACTCATCACAACCCCCACCCAACTACCCCCCAACACACACACACACACACACTGAGCGACTTACAGAATGTATTGCTTTGAGGCAATCAAACAGCCTCCCTGCTATTGCAACGTGAAAACACCAGGTTAATAATCAGGATTCAGCAGAGTGAATGAAAGCACGTTTACAACCGCTGGACTAGATGTGTGAATACTCCCGTGCACACTATAGGAACATTGGTCCTCCTAAAAATCACCCCCCACACATATTCATGCCGTCGTGACTCCCGATTCGTGACACTCTTATGCTTGCATATGTGTGTTTAATAGGGTAGAAAATGAAGCACTGATTTTGGGAGCCAGTGACAAGTCAGACGCTGGAAATAATGTCCCCCTCTACGTGCCACAAATGAAACAAAATGCGAATAAACATGCAGAAAAGTAATTCAAGCTCCAGCACTATAGAAACAATTGGCCAACAATTGCGCTGCTCTACCTATTAAATCCCGTATGATTCAGGCGCCCCGCTCTCACCAAACGTGTGACAGATTTCACTCTGGCAAAAACAAATAGAGCCATAGGTGTCGCGGGGAATATGGGCATAACCCACCTTTGTGCATGCCCGTGAAGCGGTCTTTGAGCACAGTGAGCTCGTAGATTTTGCCGAACTCCTCGAAGAGGGGCCGGAGGTCCTTCTCATCCAGGTTGCGGGGGATCTGACCGATGAAGAGTTTGATGGCATCGTGGTCCTTCATGGGGATGGTGGCCGGGCATCCCGCCGGGCTGTGGCTGTGGTTTAATCCGTTCACGAGCCCGTTCGTGCTGGCGGAGACCACACCAACACCGTGCACCGTGCCGTCCACCTGCCCGTTGGTTAAAGTTGCCATCTTCGGACCGGCCAGTGAGTTGGGATGGGTACAACAGCAGCAGATGGTAATGGTGGAGTCTCGTTTTACGTTGGAAAAAAGCTGGTGGAAGTCTTGGTCAAAATTTGGTTCCGAGACCAAGCCGTACCAGGGATGGTTCCGCTCTCGTCCTATCAAAGCCAGTATTTACAATGATTTGAAAACACATGAAGCATTTGGCGAAGACGCATATCAAAAGCGCGCAGTGCCGTTGGTCCCGGTGGAGGCTTTGATTCCTTATATTTATGTCCTAACCAATAACTCGTTCATTGATTTCATAAAAGAGAGAGAGAAAGAGAGGGAAGAAGAAGGGGAGGGAGAGAGAGAAGAGAGAGAGAGGGAGAGAGACCAAGAGCGTTCACTGTCTATTTACACCCACGTTCCTTCGTCCCAGCTTCTTGGCACCCTTTTATTTTTTTGCATTGAGGAGTCTGTAAGGGTGTCTTCTCGGTTTAAACGAACAGGGTCGGTCCGATCTCTGCCAGAACAGAGGGGAGGTTAGAATAAAGGGGGGGCGCTTTAAACTCGGCATATATAAACCCAGCATATTTCTGTCCCCCCCCCCCCCCTTTTCTTCGGCAAGTAGACAATGGTACATTCCACCGAGGGGAGAGGGTCTATAAATAGAGAGATATAGAGAATACGGTCCTTTGTGCTCCTACTCAGAGCAAATAACTACACTTTCAAGAACTTAAGAATGCAATACTTGGGTGACTGACAAACACTCACACACGCAGATACACACAGACAAAGACTCTCTCACACACAGTTTTTATCAGGAGTAATAAGCCGTACAGCTATTTTCAGAAATGTACCTACTATTAAGTGAAAATAAACATTGACCACAAATTGATGGTGTCTGCAGTTAATCGGAGGTTTATTTATTGTTTTATGTGCTCAAGTCACTCTGCATATCCTTCATCCACCTTCCTCATCCTCGACGGCAGCAGCAGCGAGTCGCTGCATCCTCGCTTCGCTCCAGGACGGTGGACAGCTCCGTGGTGCTGAAACACAGCCTTGCAGGCGAAGCTCAAAAATACACGAATGGAGAATTCCTCGCACGGCTTCGACTGTTCGCTGTTATCAAAAGCAAGCACAGCTTTTTTTTGCAGCGGTTTAGACTACGTATTATTATTACTTTCTTCTGCCGTTTCGAAAGTCACACCGAAAAGATTATTTCATTTTCAGAAAGGGGAAGTCTGTGAGCACCGCCGAGTGGCGTAGAGAGGGGGCACAAGGAAGAAAAAAAGGAAGAAAAAAAGCCATTCGGGTTATTTCAGGTAATGAAGACAATGGGGTGGGGGGGCGACTACATTTTGATTCCATTTACACCAGAAATGAGCTCAAAATCATAAAAAAGAAAGAAAAAAGATATTTCCTGATCATTTGTTGATCATTTGATGAGCTAAACATTCACTCAGCTTCTTCATCAAATCGTTTTAGTTTACGAACCTGAAGGCACCAACAAATCTGAATTTAAATAAAACCGGAGGCCTTATTCTGATTATTTTGGCAGTCCTTCATTATAAAATTGACAGTTTGAGCGAGTTAGGTGTTTACACATTTCCCATTGAAGGCATGCACCAATTAAAGGCGTGCTTATGTCTGTGATAAAAATGGACTAAACAGAATAACCTCTGTTATATAACAGCAAGTATCATCTGATTCAAACTACCGCAAACGGAAATCTGCGACGTTACACGGGGAAGGTGCAACGGCGGTGGATTTGAACATTCACTGTAACCAAAACCTCAGCTGAATATAAGATCAGATGGTTACATCAGCTTCCTATTAGCTTGGACAACGACCTCTCAGTGGGATAATTGCCATTCCTGGTTGTTTCCTTTGGGAGTAAGTACATGTTTATCTGTATCCCCAGAGGAGAACAGCAACACCCGGGGTCTTGTTAGTGTATAAATGATAAGAATGCTGATAATCCTGTTTGAATCCAATCTAATGAAAGCCATTTTAGCGGTCAGCAAAGCAGAATGTTAACGATGAATAACTCACAGTGAAGTTAAGCTAGTTGGCTCTTGGCAGTTGTGTCTGCTGGACACTCCTTTTAAATAGAATGATTCAGACCCATTACCTCACAGTGGGCCCTTGGGGGACTGCCATGCGCGCAGCCATATGTACGCCGAGGTGCCACAGAAAGGCCAGGGTATGACTCTTAAAATTCGTACTGTGCTATGTTGTTTTCCTCTTTTTTTGGGGGGGGGGGGGGGGATGTGTGGAAACCCCACCCGACACCCCGCCCAGAAATTAGCTAACCATTAAATAACAAAAGACACACTCTCAGGGCGACACAGCGCCTCTCTCACCTCTTTCCGCTCTTCCGCCAGCTAAATGGCCCGGTAATGTCATCCCGTTCTCACGGCATGACCGAGCCCCAGCAGTTGCGGGGGTGGTGGTGATGGTGGTGGTAGTGGAGAAAGGAGGGGGGCCGGGGGGTGGGACTTGGCTTTCTTTGGCATGACACTGTGCTCTGCTCTCCAAGCTTTCCCTCGGGGCCACACTCCATTCACCACAGCAGTCCTGTCTGCGCTCACGCCTGAGTTACCTGCAGCAATATTTTTTAATACAAGGGTGAAATGGGAGGGCACAAATCATTGTAATTATGTTCAGTGGGTACTATCGCGATGATTACGCAAGGTATGGCGCCACAACGGGTCCCTCGTGGTCTGCTTCGTCACACAACCTACCTGAGAGGTAGTGGAGAGGCTGCGGTGGCTGAGCCCATCGGACTGATGACACGCAGTTAGCGAGAAAGACGTGTTACAGCGTGTCTGTGCACTCCCCAAATGGCACTTATTCCAGTCCATTTGGGTATACTCAAATACGATTGTGTAGCTCTTGCAAATCCTTTCCGCAATACTCAAAACACCCAGTCTGTCAGACAATTTCCACATTTATTTACTGTTATTTTATACCCCCCTTCATATTTGTTTGAAGCAATGGAATTATAATTAAGTTTTCAGTGCTCATTAGCAAAATAAATCAAGACTTGGACTGTTAATATTTACAGCCTCACAGATTGCAATTGTTTAACAGCAACAACAAAAAGGCTTTTAAACACAGGAATGCTGACTGAGATAAGCCTCTATCCACGGTGCTGAAACTAGTGGGAAGACAAGCAAAGCGTGCCTCTGTCCGTGGTGCTAAATTTAATACAGCACAATGGTGGCAAGTGTTGCTCTTTAATAAGACAAGATGCCCCGATAAATTCTCGGTGACAAAACTGAAGGCCTTGGAGAAGAATCTATAAACAAGGTGTAGATAATCATATGTAGAAATGCCATTTCTCTCAAAAGATTCCTCTGAGCTCAACAAAAGAGGTCACTCTATCCCTCAGAAGATGGCTATTTTGCCTAGGAATATTGCTTCAATTTTCAGTTTCAGCACTGTAAACGGTTGCAGCAAGGCAAATAAATGAAAAGGGAAATGAAGTAGCCAAGTTACACAAATAGATTGATAATCTGCATTGGGCACCGTAAAGTGCTCTGGCGTTTTCAATATTACCTATTCTGCATAGTAATGTCTTTTCTCACCTCTCCTTCATATGGGACAAAGTTCTAAATCTCCTTTAGCCTTGGGACACTCGGGCTGTATATCACCTCTCAGTAATTTAGTAGGAAGAGCACAAAGGGATGAGGAAATGGCAGGCGCATGACTGAATGCTCAAAAAGTTTAGAGGGACAAGAAGGGCAGGGGGGGTCCTCTTTAACTTGATTAGCAACAATTTGTTAGAGATTGGAAGGGATGTGCCAGGAACAAAATTACTGCAGTAGTTTCAAATGTGCATCTTTTGAAAATGACACTGTGTTCTTGGCATAAGCCGGATCTATATCTACATAGATACAGATACCTATAGCTATAATATCTATAATATTATGATTGTTTAAAATGTATTTATTATATGCGAAGATTCCAATCTAACTTACACATAAAACTATAGGTTTACTATGTGATAAATAAGGGGAGCTATAAATGTTAAGCACTTATTATGCAAATGCATATATACAAAAATAGCTGCTGATCTGGAGACAGAGAATTCGTTAATTTCCAGAGGGGGGAAAAAAGCATTTTATTGGGTCATGTGTGGAGTGAACAGTCTTCCAGTGGAAGTTTGTTGACACAGGGATAAGAGGCGGTGACTTATCTCCCCTTAGGCAAAAACAAACAAGGCCACAAACACATTCAATAACACATTAAACCTTTGGAATTATCTGCAAAGCGGCCTTGCAGCAGATGTGTGGCCTAAACATGTCTTAAAACCTTTGTTTAGTTTAACACACAACATGAAATTATGAGCTTGATATAAAAGTACATCCACATACATTTAGACCTTGTTTTGCATAATTAAACACAATAATGTAAGTATGCGAATCACATTCCACTCACCATTGGATGATAAAAACCAAGAGTTCAGCTTAGTTTATACAGTGCCACCATACTTGATATGACCAGGAAAGTAATCCCCGTTGCTCTGTAAGAACTGGAAAATTAGTGGATTACACATATGCCATCATAATCTCAACAGGGTGCTATTTTTTTATTAAGATAAATCCTGTAGATTTGCGAATTGCTGGATCTCAAGGGGCTCTTACTATGTGGAGCAATGAGGTGTGTGTACCTCATGCCCCTGCAGTTATACCTGGCCTGCATTGGAAAGAGATTAGCGCTGTGACATTTGACATGGGTAGGCGTCTCTGCTTGTGCCGAGCACCGGCTGCACAGATCAGCCATGCTGACAGCTCCTCTCCTTGACTGACTGGCTGCCCTGAAAACACACAAGTCTCTTTACAAACACCAGCTTCTTGACAACATCACCTATACACTCGATTGCACCGTGCACATTCCTACCTTTGACACCCACGCACACGCACGATTTCGCGCTCATAAATGTGACATATAATTAACCTAATTCTATTTCGTGTTCTTTCTGACTATAAAACTGGCTTGTTGGATCTGATGTCATACATGATACATGCAATCAATCATCATAGACAGAAAATGACTTCATTTACTTGCTGCTGTCTGAATCATGCAGCACCAAAATCCCATTTCCACCACAACAGATCAATTCCACAGAGAGGTCACGAGGTGGGATGAACTCTGACTCCTGGCTTTGTTGGTGCACACTGATGATACTCCGAGGGCTTGCCCCGGTTGTCAGGGTGATGTGACACCTCAGTTCTAGATAGGCAGCCATTTTGGGGCCACAATTTCCAACTCCAGTTTGTCATTAATTGCTCTGGGAAGGAAAACAGGACTCATAGGGGAGCACGATAACACCTGGCTGTTT